CTGATTAGTGATTGTGAATATAGATATGGCAAGCGAAAAATTATGAAAAAATACTATATTATTGGTTAAGAAATGCACTTCACAATTGCATCACATGTGGAATATGATTTGCAATTATTAGAACCAGTCTAGAAAAGCTGATATATTGCATAAAATCTCTGGCTCATTCATAAATTTACGTTCCTGGTGTCGCGCGACAGCGTCGCGCAGCTACCTTATTAATTTCTGTAGAATTTATTTAAAAAAACTTCACCAAAACCAATAAGTGATCACTAGCCAATAGAATTGCACATAAACATGGATGTTACACGGAAGGATCTGCAAATCGGGCATAGCTTCAAATTTGGATCATACTAATACTACCTAAAAATTCTAAAAATTCAAATACATCCGAATACTGATCATCCAATATTTATATAAATTTGTGTAAACACCAGAGATTTTTATGTCACTTGGTATTAGCTAAGATTCGGTATAGAATGATTAAATTCCAAATCGACATTAAGTACTTTCTTGGTAATGATGATAATAACTTTTTCTCAGCCGATGGTCATCCGAATTTTGATCATAAGAAGTTTTATATGTTTTTTTTTTTTATAGTGAGGCCTGGCCTCGGTCTTTATTGAATAATTATGCGTAACATTGTTTAAATGGGATACATGAATTATTACCGGGACCTACAGCTAGGACTCTTTAACCTCGGTCTAAAACTCTACTAGAGTGGCTACTCGGCCTCTACTAGATTTAGTTTGGCTATATATGATGTGGATATATTGGTTGTGGGGAAGATTCTTGCCCATTTATAATATTTGGTTACACTGATGTGGTGTGTAGGGATGAGTAGGGGGCGAGAAGTTTATATGTTCGTGATATACAGGATCAAACTACTACAATATGAACAGAAAAACCGAAAATATATAAATACATCCTTAAAGATCTTTTTTTCATTACTTTGTACTTAATAATTTTTTTATTCCTGCCATCATTATTTTTTTGCGATTACTATGCAATTTTTTACTCTCACTCGCATCATTATCTTTTTTATGATTGTTCATATAACACAAGGTAAAATACCTAAATATGCATAACAATATAAATGGTTTTCTCTTCTAATTGTTTTTGGTTTACTTAACATCACATAGCATATTACCTTTTTATCAGTCTGGCATTCGAATCAGTCTGTCATGTATACGTAACTGATTGTAATGGCCAAGTTATAAGAAATGCCGGATGGAAAGATTGTGGTGATAGTACTTGGGATTGGGATGATGCTCCTGATGTTTATTGCATACATATATACCCTAGAACAAATTCAAACGATAATAAATATTGTCAAGGATATCGAGATGCTTGCTTTCAAGTTCATGGTGACCTCTTAGATGGTTTTGAAATGCGTCAATATGACGATTGTGCTTCTCGTACTACTTATCATTTGTGTGGATAATTTGTAATACCTTGTCCCCGATTTATTATTCCTGCAATTGTATTTCATTTTTTTATTGATGTCTTTTATATAATATTAATTTTATGTTATTTTGTATAGTGCTATATTTTTTTA